CAAAATGTCAAGGAAATAATGGCAGCTGCAACTGACAATTCCTTTCCCTACCCCAAAATGTGAGACAATGCTTTCTTCTAGTTTTACTTCTCACTAACTTTTCCTTTTCAACTTTATACCAGGACACCAGGACACACTCTAAATCAACTAACAGTAATGAGACATCAGAAAAGTAAGGCATACCAATGGAAAAAGTTTGGTTTACCAGCTTTAATGGCTATTACAAACATTCCAACTCCAAGACAAGAAATTCATAATCCAATAGCCACCTCAGGCAATGAGCCTTTACAGAGAAACCCACGCACCAGTGCTTCCAGTCCATAAGGCCCATGCTCTATAGTTACACAGAAGTGTGCCAAAACCTTCCTTTGCAAAGGAAAGGACCAGCAGCTTCTCTGGTTTCTTTTGGGGAGAAAACCAAGTATAATAGTAATATACTGAAACACAGTAAGAAAAATGCAAGTGGGGTGTTTGATTTCCATTCCTTTTCTGACAGTGCCAGTAGCATAGGTTATACCCGAAATTTGACTAACTCCATTGCCTGTATTCTCCCACTTGCTTGGAACAGTGTGGCAGAGTGAGGAAACCCTCAAGCTGTGCAACAGGATGCACAGAACAGTCTCCCTCCTTCCATTCCATTTGACAGTTCCACTTGTTACACTCCAGCTTTGGGGATATTTCACAGGACCCAGGTGCAAGGTCTTACTGCCATCCAACCTTCCGTCCTCTCTTTCACCTCTGCAAATGGATGGCACTGCCACAATTCAGACTGGCCATTTGTAATGAAATAGTGCAATATTCTGCATGTCTCTTCCTCTTCAGGTTCTGGACACATCCAGTGTCTTGTACAACAACATAATTACTATTCAGAATTTCCCTAAACCATTCTGAAACAGAAATTAAACTTCAGCTCCATTTATCTCTTTGGCAGAGTGTTTCAAATGAAGCTTACAAAACAAAAACACACTGAAGAGAAAAAAATCACCCCTGTGACTTGGGAAAGCAATAGATATGCCATTTCTTCTGACCCACTATACCGACCCTTTTAAGAGGGATAAGAAAGGACACATTATAGGTAAATTTTATTTATGCACATACAAGCAGAACAATCAGCTAAAGCTAAAATAGGAAAAGCCTCCAAGAGCTGAGGAAAAACACTGGAACTGTGGAATACAAAGGAGATGAAGAATAAACAAACCATGACCTCTAACTAAAAGGGAGGAGTACCCAAAATGTTGCAATCTTTCAGGAAACTCCCTCAAAATGCTTGGTACTTATCCTTACCATTTTAACTCTGTATCTTCACTCTCATTCTCAGAGCATTATGTACAGCACAACACAAACACTGCAGATTGCTCAGTACAGTTTGTAAGTAGTCAAAGGAAGGCAGACTTCAGCCCTGTGAGCAAGGATGATCTATCTCTACAGTGGTGACTTGCACTCCCTGTACTGTGTTGTTCACAGTATCACTGCCTCGTGTTGTTTCGTTTGGGGTCATTTTTAAGCTCACTATCAAACAGAAACAGGTCTACACAACTGTATTCTGTGTGCGTATCTTTCCCTCCCTGTCCTTTTCTTCAATTCCAACTACCAATAATTGTCAGTCCCTGAACCAATTTCCACTTAACTCCAAAAACCAGAGATCCCAAAATAAGTTCCTCTACATTTTTAAAAATACTAATTTCTTAGAAGACAGATTCTTAATTCCTCTCACCCAAGCACTGTCCTATTAAAGTAAGGTTACAGGAAAAACAAAATCATTAAGAGACCAAAGAAGACAAGTAAGGGTGAATCAAAAGAAAACAGCCCTCAAAAAGAATTCTACTTCTTGGAGCAGTGCTTTCTCTTGAGCACAACTTACAATTGTATTTACATTCTCACCTGACACTTCCTAAAGCTACAGTCTACTCCGCCTATCTTAGTAGAAACTATTCTAGAAGACAGATCAGTAGACAGCTAAACAGATGACATTCAGACAGGGAAATTAACCCCACTTTTGTCCAGGAGAGCCAAGCTCCACAACCCACAACCATACAACAGTTCTCCAGAAGATCTCCCTTACCCACACACCAATGGACTCTACTTGGTAAAACCTGCTTTAATTTCCAAGAGACATTTAACAAGATTCTTCACAAAAGGCTCTTAAAGAAATTAAGCTGTCATGGCAATAAAAGGCCTTGCATAGATAGGTTATCTGAGTAGAAGAGATAAAACAAAGAGCAAAACAAATGGTCATTTCTGACAATACAGTAAGGTCACCAGTGAATTCTCACAGGAATATGAGCTAGAGCCCAAACTGAGATATTCTTATATCAGGAGAATCAGGTGAGTGCTACCAATTTACTGGTGACACCAATGGTAAAAAGAAAGAACAGAAGAACAAACACAGGCTGCAAACAGCAAAGCTTGCAGGGAGAATTCAGTAAAGGTAAGCGCTACCTGCAGGAATCCCAAATTCACATACACAGTGATGGGCCCCACACTGAACACTCCCACCCAGGGTGAGCACATAGAGCTGAGTCAATCTCAATCTCCCACCTGAAGAAGCCAGGGTCTTGATCTACAAAACCGCTTTTCCCCGCAAAATATTCTTGCCACTGACCTTGCATCACCTCTAGCAACACCTTACTCTGATGGCCTGATTCAGTTAATTCACTGGGCAAAAAAACACCCCTCCCAGTCAGATGGGCTTTGCCAGGTAGGGAATTCAACTAGCCCAAGGAAAGGTCAATTTAGCAACAGCAAGCACGAGCACAAAGGAAAGGGAAGAACTGTGCAGCTGTGCAGAAATAGATTGCTCTCTCAGCTGTGGCAGATCAACTCAATCATCTTGTGCAATTCCACTGGCAGAAACAAGCTCATGTAGTCCTAGTGAACTAATCTGAGAAAATAACAATGCAAAATGGGCATATCTGTTACTCATTTAAGAGAGAATTTCTTACCCATTTGCAAATGAAGTTTCATTTTCCCACTTATAAACACTAACACATTAGTATCTTCCTGGTCCTTGGGGATTCTAACCCTAGAAGGAGCAAGAAACCCTCATGTGGGGGAGAGCAAACAGATTCTCAGCTTGTCATTTAATTCTTGTTTCAAAGAAAAACACCACCACCTGCTATGCTCTGGTATACAAAAACATGTATCCAAGATGAACTGGTTTCATGTGTATTGTTTTCTTGTAGAAAAAATATTTGATATTTAGAAGCATTTCTGACACACAGGTCTGTTCTTACGTAACCTTATAAAGGAAGATTTTTTTTTCCCTGTGAGCAGAACCATCTGCTAATGCTGTGCTCACTCAGCTGACCTGCCAGTATAATGCAAGTCTGCTATATGGAGAGTTACAGTAGATAGACTCATTCTATTTATCTATAGAATAAATAGCATGTATTCTGCTGAAACAATGCACAGCGAAGAACACAGCTGGCTGGGTATTGCCTCATGTTGCTTTCTAGTTAGACATCACTTTTGGGGACCACCTGAAACAACCTGCCTTTCAGTTGAGGGTGGAGAGGCTTAAGAATTCAACCTCTTGCTCTTAATTCTGCAACAAAAGGTTAATAACTGTGCAACTGGAACTCAGAATATACTCTCACATCAAGCTCTTGTATCTAATAATGCTGCCCGAGACTCCTGTCCCACCAAACAACGTTGTGCAACCCATGCCTTTTTTCATGTTTTAAGACTAAGACTACAAATCCACCCTGGGCAAGACTAGCATCATAATCACAGAACATGTATTTGGCAGCTCACGGCTAGCCAGTGCTCTACATCTTTGGCTACATAGAGAGCAGCACAAAACAAAGTCAGATGCCTGAAGGAATGAAAACCAAAGGGCCATGAAGATGCTGCAAGGGCTGGAGCAGCTCTGCTCTGGTGACAACACAGAGAGCTGGGCTTGTTCAGCCTGGAGAAGGCTCTGGGGAGACATTAGGGCAGCTCCCAGTGCCTAAAGGGGCTAAAAGAAATGTGGAAAGGGACTTTTGACAAGGGCCCAAAGAAGCTGTGGCTGCCCCATCCCTGGCAGTGTTCAAGGCCAGGTTGGATGGGGGTTGGAACAACCTAGTCTAGTAGAAGGTGTTCCTGCCCATGGCAGGGGGTTGGATTCAGATAAGCTTTAACCCTTCCTACCCAAGCCACTCTATGGCTCTGTAACTTGCACCACATATGTAATTAGCTGTATTTATAAATGGACATCTTGCAAAGTAAGGTGGCTTTGAGATTGCATAATATGAAAGCAGAATTACCAGCTTTTTCACAGGATACATGTGATACTGTATGGGCACAGCAGAGATACCCTGATGAACCTATTCTCCAAGAAATCCTGCTACTTCAAGCACACTGTTATTATTAAAAAAAAAAAAATTCTAAAATACTAAAATGCCTGCTGAGATGCCAATGAGGAAACGTTGCAAAACTATCAAATCCAGGAGCATAGATCCTTCTCATGTTAGCGAAGACCCGAGTCACTGGCTATTCTCTCATGAACAAAACGTCCAGTGGTGAAATCATTACTTATGTTCAGTCATGTCAGAAACGAGAAAGTAGCTACGAAATGAGAACTACGGAGAAGATTCCTCTGCAGTTCCTTCTCTTCAGCTCTTTTAAGCCAAGCTAAACGTGGTGTCTACCTTAACACAAATGAATTAGTGTGGATCTCCCAAAACACTTGGTTTTGGAAGTATATTTTCAGACCGCAAAGTTGCAACAATCATAATCATGTTCTCTCAACCCCTTATTTTCTAGGGAAACAAAGAAATACATCTCTCTCTTCTGATCACATATTCGACACCCAAACCAACACAGTTAAATCAGTTTTGGGAAAGCAAAATATTGCTGAGAATAGAACATAACTCTACATGTCCTGGATAGAAATGACAGAATAATTATCTGCTGGTAAACTCAAACTTCGTAGGATTTCTTTTCCAAGAAAGAAATCTAACTCTATTCCCTTCTATTTTTAGCCAGATGAGCAAACACAGAGGCACTGCAATCAGGACATGGCAATCTGCAATGGGAGAGTTTCAGAGCTCCACATGAGAAATTTGAGTGACTGCAAGTAAACACCCAGAACTTAAAAAAAGCATTAAGTACCTTAAAGATTCTGTTTGGGATTTTAAGTCTTGAAGCCCGTACACCAGATTTAGATAAGGTGCATTCTTATCTTGGCACCAGGCTTCAGCATCACCTTCTGGTTTTGACTTCAAGCCAGAGCACCACCTGAACACTTGAGCACTTTGAGGTGCAGAATAGAGAGCCAGATCTCTGAGAGGCCAAGCACCCATTCAGCAGCACTGCATCCAAATTCAGGTTTTAGCATTCCTGCACAGCTTAAGTAGACAAGTTTTCTGCTTTCAGTATGTCTTGTGTTAACTACAGGACAAGCACTTTCAAATTTTCAGCAGGGTATTAAAGTCTCTTGTGGAAATGCTTGTATTTCTTGCGCAAATACCAGAGAACAATTTACAAAAGATTAATGAACGTCTGAACACTGACAAGAACATGTCACAATATACATGTTCTTATCCCAGAAAGGACTTTTCTTAGAAAGTCATCACAATTAAGCAGTTCTCTCCCACTGTGTCCTTACACTTTTATAGGCCCACTTGCCTACTAAAATGATATTTAAAATACCAATATTTAGGTACCTTCCATCAGGGCAAGTCTTTACAACAAAGGGGAAGAAAGAAGAGAACCCAAAGTCACCAGTTCAAACTTGAAATACATGTTCTTCTTTAAAAGAGGGTTCTTTCAAATCAAAAATATCCACTTGCTGTGTTTCTGAGCATCCCAAGTAATTCGTTTTGTCAAGGGATCCAAATATTTAATGTTCTATTTTCAGCAGACATTATATGAAGATTTGCACAATATGACAGGCTGGCTATGGACAAAGACAGTAACTGAAGTCTTGGAACCCTAATCACACCACCAGGATTTAGGCTGCCCTCAAATTCTGTCCATGGCATATTGTGTGTGGATGTTTGGTCATAAATGCTGTCTCTCAAAGTAAACTTGTCAACTTCAGCATGTTTGTACACGTTAGGAAACACCAGAGACTGTGAGCTGTCAACTGCCATGTGCTTCAGTCCTTAAACACAGGGGTTATACAAAAGGTGTTTTAAACCTCCAGAACTGACACTAACTCTTTGTTCAGCTTCGGAAAAATACAATTTTCCATTATTCCCTCCAACTGCTGTCAATCTACAAGGAGCCCATCAGCAGTAGCCAACCAAGAGTCTAAACTGAACACTTTGTATTAAACAGTCAGTAAAAACTACATCCTCCCAGATTAACCCTAGCCCTGGAATTAGCCCCTCCGCTGCTGCTCACCAGGAAATCCTGCTGCATCACGGGTTGGCGTGCTGTTCCAAAACCACACTAATAAACCAGCCTCTCATCCCACTTCTTCCTGTAGTTTCAGCAGACAACACATACATTGCCTTGAGGTCTAGTGATTTCTTCATGGATTGATGGAATATACTGTAGAAACACTCATCAAATGACCTTGCTGTCTACAGATAAACAAAAAAAAAACCCAAACAAACAACACTAGACATAGCAAAACTGCTTTGGATCCATAAAATCTGGACTAACCTTTCTCCCATACCACCCCTATCACTAGTGTGATAACATGGAGAAGTTAAGCATGTCTTAAGATGTTTGAATCCATACGTTAATGTTATCCATCACACCAAACTCAAGACACAACTTAGAAACAGTTGTGTTAGTGGTGTGATCTGGGAAAGGTTTTTTCCTCCTCAACAACTCAATAAACGTTACTGCTAGACTAACTCTACAAAGCTATATGTATCACAAACTTGTGAACAACACAACTGAAATAACCAATACTCATAAACCAGCTCAATTTAGTTTAATTAAACTCACACTGTCTTACTAGAAACTAAGTTTTTTGACACTGGTATTGGCAGCCTTTTGCGCCACTCTACAGATACTACTGCTATCCTGTTTCTCCCAAGTCACACTTTATCCCAACCACTGCTCACACTCCTCACTCCACCCCAGGAACACACAGAAAGCTAAGTGTGGCTGACCACTACTCCCTACCACAGGCCAGTCACCAAGCCACCAGCACCCATCACAGCAGCTTTCCTCCTTGCCAACCAAAACCCTTGCTATTTTTGTGTCCTACAGCTCAGGACCCCAGCTTGGTGTCTCTTCCCTGCCTCCCAGAACTGGTCAGAGGGCATTGCCTACACTCGACTTCTCCCCAGAGCCACGGTTCCCACCTCCAGTACCACCAGTCGGTCCACCCTAGGCGCCAGCCACCCGGGGCTCAGCATACTGCATCTCCCACCCCAAAGGTCAGGGAAGCTTCACCTTTACATGACACGGGTCTACTCCCCCTTGACAAATCAAGGAGCGGCCTCTCGCCGCCAGGCAAGCTGCCCACCCCACCGCAAGCCTTCCGCCCCGGTGCCACGGCACTAACAACTCGAGGATAAGCAACAGGAGCAGCAGGCTGAGGGTCCCCAGCTCTGGGGCTGCAGCCCCACATTCTCCCCAGGCTCCACGTTTGTGGCCCCCCAACCCCGCCTGTCCCGCCTGGACGCCAGCCAGACAACGGCGGCGCTGGGGCGGCCGGGGCCCTCCCGCTGTCCTCCCCCGGGCCGGTCCCAGGTGGCGGGTCGTGGCGGGCCGAGTCGAACCGGGCAGCGCACCGGCTCCTGCAACTTTCCCTCCCCGCGGCCACGGCACCAACTCCGCCGCCGCCCGGGCCGGCCGGGGGCCGCCACCAGCGTGCCCCGCGCGGCGGAAGCGCCACCCCCGCTCCGCCCGAGCATCCCCCGCCGCCGCCACCGCCCGAGCCGCCCCCACCCGCGGGCCGCGCAGCGGGAACGCCGCCGCCGCCGCCCGGAGCGGGGCGCAGGCCCGGCAGCCGGGAGAGGCCGCCCGAGCTCGGCCCGGCGCCCCCGGCAGCCCCGGCGGGGACAATGAGATGGCGGCGAAGAGCGCCGCGCCCGGGGGACCCGTTGCTCCGGCAGGAGCCGCCCCGCCCCGCGCCGCCTCCTCTTCCCTCCCCTCCCCTTCTCCTCTCTCCTCGCACGGGCAGCGCCCGCTCCCGGCCCGGCCGCCGCGGAGACCGAGCGAGCGAGCGGCCCCGGCCCGCTGCCCCCGCCCCTCGCGCCTCCATCTTGGATCGGCGCCTCAGCGCCCTCCCTCCCGCGCGCCCCGCTCACCTCGGGCCGCGCCGCAGCCGGGCCGGGCGGCACCCCAGGAGCTCTGCGGAGCCGCTGGCGCGCGGGGTCCGGGCGGGTGCGGGCCGGGGCCGGGGCGGCGGCGCTGGCGGGGGCCGCGCTCACCGGAGCCGCAATCCTAAACCGCCATCTGGCGGCATGTCCGACCCGCCAATGGCGCAGCCGCCGCCGCGCGCCGGACCCCCAGCGCCCCCTGGCGCCCACCCGCCGCCGCGCTGAGGTAACGGGGAGGTGAAGGGGGGGGACACCGTGGGTAGAGACGGCCCCGCCCAGCGCCCAGCACGCGGGCGCCGCAAACGTCTTTCGCGCGAAAACGCCGCGCATGCGCCCCGCAGCTTTCTGCTCGCGCGTGGCCGCGGGGCGGAAGGGGGTCGCGAGCGCCGCCGCTGAGGAGGCGGGGCGTCGCCGGGGTGACAGGAAACCGGGGGAAGGAGCGAGGGGACCCGCTGGCGCCTGTCGCGACATAGGGCGGGAGAGGTGGCGGTCGCGGTGCTCTGTGTGGCCGTCAGTGCCCGCTTGGGTGCTGGAGGCGTCTCCTTGGTGCCCCTGCCGTGGGTCGGGGTTGCGGCGATGCGGCCAGTAGGCTGAGGGGAGTCGGGGATCTGCTGGCATGGGAGAGGGGGGCAGCGGCCGCCGAGCCAGAGGCGGCCTGAGGCGGTGTTTCGGCACTGGTAAGTATTTCGGAGCTGGAGAAGGCGAGGCTCGCACCCAGGGGTCGCAGGGACGGCGGTGAGGGAAGGGCTTGGCGGGGAAGGAGCAGCAGCAGCAGCAGTAGTCCCTCGTCAGGCTCTCGCAGTCGAGACGCCAGACCGTGCCATGGCCACCGCGGGGGGCTGCTGCTCGCTCTTAGTGAACCCGCTCCCTGTGCTCTCTGCGGAGATGCGCTGCTTCTCTGTAGCGGTGCAAACGTGGCAGTTGCCATCGCAACTTGTGCCATCCTCTCTGTGCAATTCCCAGTCTCCCGGTTTCACTCGGCTATTCTCAGGAGCCCTTCTGCACACACTTAACACACGCACGGGGTTGCTGCCTTTATGCAATTTGTCGGGAGGAGGTCAAAAGCAGTAAGCAAAATACCTGATTTTAATCTATAAACCTGCAACTGCCTTCTTGTACTCTGTTTCAGGCTGTTGTGCTATGTCTTATATCTAGTTAAGCTATTTTTGTATGCTGTAGGATGCTCTATTTAAGTGTTGATTTGTTCTCTGTTGTTTACCCCATGCCTGGAATTGTAATATAAAAGGGTTTGTTCATATCGGTATTTTTAGAAGAGAAAGTTTGCAGGCTCTTCTAAAATCGCTTCATTCAAGTCTTGCTGCTGTAGAGGTCGTAGTTGCAGCAGGCAACAGACGCGACTGAAGAAATTAGGGAAGTGTTTTTTCAGATAACTGGATGCATTTGGAGCCTTTACACGGCAAGAGAATAGGTCAGTGAAAGCAAGGGAAATTAAAGGTGTTACATATAATCCCATTGAAATCGCATGTGGCAGCTTTAGCAAATTAGCAGAAATACGGATTGGGTTTTGGGGTAGCAAAATATCAGGAACGTGTTTATGATTTCTGGGGCTTAAGTGCAGGGTTTATATTTCAATTCTGTGAAGGGTGTGCTGGCTCTTCCCTTAGGCAGTGCTATCAGACACGACTCGATTAACTTCGAAGACATGGGATACCAGTTTGCTGGTTTGTGTATAATGTTTGTTCTTGTGCTTAAGTGCTAAAAAATCCGTTAATGTAATTGCTTTTTCATTTTCTTCAGTACCTTTTTTCATTAAATTTTAATAAAGATTTGAGTTTATTTGCATAATTCTCAATAAAATTTATATGGTCAAACCATCTGGCTTAAAAGATAAAGGGTCTCTGATTTTCCAGCATGTACCTTACTGAATACTTACAAAGTGCAATAGAAATGTAGGCCGTTTCAGTGAAATCAACATTTAATTGCGTGCTGTGTACCTTACATTGCCTTTTCTTCCCCTCCGTTCACATTGTGTTCCACTAATTAGTAGATCCCTTGATATGTGCAGTTGCCTGAACTATCAAGCACTGAAGAATCTCCAAGAAGGTTAAGGTGGCTTAATGGAGAGGGTGCTGAAACAGGAATTTAGGGTATTTTCCTGCACTCGATAGGGAACCAAAAAAAAATAAGTTAGTGTAATGCATAGAAGTGCTTGGTGAATGTGGCACAAGTTCAGTCTGTTACATGAGCTTGTAAGGATGGAACTGGTCTTCTGTATGTGTAATATTCAGGGAAATTTGTTAGTCTGTAGTTGTCTTACAGGGATTGCTTACAGCCTTCTGGTAGTCTAAACTGGTCAGGATTTGGGGTACTTTCCACAGAGGAGGCAAAGGACCATCCCTGCAAGGCATGTCTTTGAGAACACAGGAATAGCTGGCTGCTGATTTTCGACTTTATCTGCCAGGGTTACAAACCTTGTAACATTTCATGTCATGAAACATTTCATGTAACATTTCACATGTCATGAAATGTGGTAACATTTAAATCATCTGATTGATTCTGACTAATCTGGCAGAAGATGAGGGTATTTTCCTGTGAGCTCACTGAAAATTAGCAGTTAGAATCATCAGTCAAACCTCAAAGCCTTAACTCCTTCAGGCACTGCAAACAGGAAAGCTTAGCCTCCCACCCCCCCAGTCAAGTGGTGTGTAACCACCTATTTCTACCTTGCTAATAAGCACATTTGTAATGATTGAGGTAGGGAAGAGGGAGAGTACTGTTTTTTTGTGTTTTTTTTTCGTTTTGGGGTTGGGGGGGGGTGGGTTTTTTTTCAGTTAAATCATGGTGTGTATTCTGTTCATGATTTGTGACACTTCGTGAATTCATTGTGATTATTTGTTCGCCCATGGGAAGATGGGGCTCCCACTTTGGCAGTCAGTGATTTCCATGAGCTGGTAGTTTGAATGGGTTTCCCAGGTTGTAGTTTTAATTGGGAATGCTTGCTTTATTAACTGAGTATTTGCATAGTACTTAACCTTCAGCCTTGCATTAAACTCGAGTCAAAGAAAAATTATATTTTTGATAGAAAATGAAAAATTATATTTCCAGACATGAAGAAAAATAAGGACTTCATGTGATCTCCACAAAAGAAAGGCACTAGCAGAAAGAGAAGTAGCAAATTTTCTGCATAGGCTCTGATGATTTCTGTTGATTGTAAACTTGTGGCTGGGACAAATAGAATGGATTTTGAGATATGCATTAATCTTGGTCTCCATTGAAATTCTCACTGGTTAAGAAAAACAAGGTCACCAAAGAGCACAAATAAATGCACTGTGCAAGAGTTGGTTTAATATTTGTCATTATCTCAGTATTTAATAGAGAAAATTAAATTTTGCTTTAAGCACTCCTGTTATATTTTTTGTTCTTTTCTCATCTCCTGCCTTTCTCATTTCCCCTGCATTTGCCCTTCAGCCTTCCAGCTCTTCCAACCGTTAGAATTCCTAGTGGTGGAAAGGAATACAGAAAATACTGTGTCTGTATAGGACAGCCATTTTGAGCTGCGTGTTCATGATCTATTGTTTTCCTCCAGAGAGATCTCTGAATACATTACACAGGCCCAGTGTTAAATTTGCAACTGCATTTTGTTTCTCTTTTATACCATTTTCTATATTTGTTGGAAGAAAATGTAATCTAAACTTTGGAAGAAAAAAAAAATCCCATTGTATGCTAATGGTAAAACATTACTAGTTTTGTTTTCATGAGCCAGTAGTTGCAGTGTGTACTCAGGTGTTTCTTGGTCAAATGATTGCATTTGCACAGGCTAGATCCACTATCAGTTTAATATTAATGCCTGTTGTGCATACTTAGTCTTCTTTTCCTCCCACTTAATTTTATTTCTGATCCAAATATTGTGCCTTAAATCAAGATCTTATTTTTAAGATGTGAGGCCAGCAAGGCAGAATTGTGAATTTATAGCACAATGAAATAGCTGAGTGAGAAAAGCTGTGCTTGTGAAAATCACTGCCTTCCTGGACTCATTCAGTACATTTTGCATTTGCACATTAAGGGAATCTGAAATTAACAATTTATCGTCACTATGAAGTGCAAGTAGCAGGTGAGACTGAGGTAGATTTTCTGCTAATGTTTGAACTACTTGCTAGTGCAGCAGTTTACCCAGCTCTTACGCTCTTTGTTTACTCTCTTTGGCATTTCAGCTGTTTCTTCTCAAGTTTCTTGCAGTATTTAAACTGCAGTGTTTAATGGGCGCTGTGGAGTACTCCTCCACTGTTCAGCAGCACACTGGGTATGCTTTGGTTTTTTAAGCTGAGCTCTGCTGAAAATGCGTTGGCAGCAGAAGCATGAACAGGAGGAGTAGCACAAGGCCTCCTGCAACACAAGGACCTCTCTTGTCCTCAGACCCTCAGTGGGGTATCTCAGAGCTGGGAGCGGGCTTAGTCAGCCAAAGGCAAGAGTAAGGTGGTGCCTTGGGATCCCTTTCTTGCTTGCACAGGTCTAAACTGGCACTGCCTTCTTGCCCACCCCTCTCCCTGTTCAAAGTCCCCACCAGGGATTTGCTCTGCCTGCAAGAAGTAGGAGACAGTTTAGCTTGGGTGTAGCACTGGGTTCAATAAACACTCAGCCCCGCCTATTCTTACGTAAATTATTTTTGCCTGGAGACATGCAGTGCTTGGCTGTCACACAGGGAGAATATCCACATCCACAGGTGGTGGAGAAAATGCAAAGGCTGAACGTGGCCACAATATTTTTAGGAGTATTTCTGTGCCAAGCTCCTGCACCCACTTCTACATTGCCTTTTGAATTGTGGTCTCCCCAACAAACAGCCGTTGTGCTGTTCAGCCCAATTCTCTACTTGGCTGTGGTCTTGCACCTTCAGGATCCACCTGCTCTGCTGCTTCCATAGTCCCTGTGGAAAAGGGCTGCAGAGAGGTCCATACCCATCGCCTACTGATATCACAGGGGCCAAACTGCTGCTGTCTGCAGGGCTGGGATCAGCTTATGGGGATGGATGGCTGGAGCAGGAGGACGGTTCTTCCTGGGGGTCCTCTGCTCCGCAGTGCCAGTGGGGCAGGCATGGGATGGTGAATTTGCTTGTTGTTAAACTGTAGGAGCCTTACACTTACAAAACCACCACTTGTTCTTTGCATTAGGTCCATCAATAACTCTGAGAGATGGCTGTGGAGTGGTTTTGGCAAGACAACACTGATTGCTTTTTCTCCATCTAAAGTTCTTGGGGTTTTGTGGTGGGGTGTTTTCCATAATGATGCACCAGGGTTGCCAGTTTCCAAGAAGCATGGCCTCAGAGGCATGCTAGTGCTTCTCAAATTTGCAGCTTTGAAAAATAAGCAGAATGTTTCGTGCCTCCTTTAAGTATTACTTTCTGTGTTGAGATGATTGTAACCTTTCCTGTTTGATATCTGAGAGCATCTGTTGTTTCTGTTTAGACACCCGGGCAAAGATGTAGATGACCAAGAGGTGTTTTCCCCTCCTGGCTTGGGATTAAATTTCTCAGTCACAGGTAAGGTCTTTGTGTATTTATTTGCTGGGCAAAGAGAAGGCAGGGAAGGTTGCATTTCTCCTGCTGGCACTTCATTTGGAAGGGCTCTTTGTGCAGATGATGGAGGGTGCTGGGAAAACAAAGTAATCTCAATGACATCCCTGTGCCTGAATTAAACTGACCTGCTGCTGTCACACTAGGCTTTGGGACAGTGATGGCATACTCAGTGGAGAGCTGGAGGGAATTAAGGCTGCAGGTGGGCTCTCTGTGGGCAAGATGCCTATGCCTGCAACAGCAAAGACCAGGTGGTGTTTGTGCTGGTGAAGTGCTGACATTGCTCTCTTGCTTGTTTTGAGAGGCTGTTGCTGTTCTGACACATACAGCAGCATGCGTGTTGCTGCCTGTGCCACAGTGGTGTGCACAAACCACAGGCACTCTTTGTTATAGAATGAAATGGACCTCCAATAAGAGACAGATTTTGTGGCTGTGTTTTTTAAATGTCTGCCACAGCGTCTTGGTTCTGGCTGGGATAGAGTTAATTTTCTTCTAGTAGCTGGTGCAGTGCTGTGTTTTGGCTTTAGTCTGAGAACAAAGCTGATAACACACCAGTGTTTTAGTTGTTGCTAAGTAGCGCTTGCCCTGATCAAGGACTTTTTCAGTCTTATACTCTGCCAGTGAGGAGGGGCACAAGAAGCTGGGAGGGAGCAGACAGGACACCTGACCTGAACTAGCCAAAGGGGTATTTGAATACCACAGCACATCATGCCCAGTATATAAATGGTAGGGGGAGGGTAGTTATCCAGAAGGGACAGATCACTGCTTAGGTCAGGCTGGGTATCAGTCAGTGGGTGGTGAGCAATTGTATTGTGAATCACTTGTGTTGGTTTTTTGGGTTGTGTTCCCCCCCCCCCCCGGCTTTGGTTTTATATTCTCTCCCTTTGTTATTTCCTGTATCATTAATAGTAGTTTTATTTGTATTTTAGTTACTGGACTGTTCTTGTCTCAACCTGTGAGGTTTACATTCTTTCGATTCTCCTCCACATCCTCCCCAGGGGGGGCAAGGGGAAGTTAGTGAATGGCTGCATGATGCTGAGTCACTGGCTGGGTTTAAACCAGGACACACAGGAAGGTCTGGCTGGCAGTTTGGATCAGCACTTCTAAATTTACCCCCTTTAAAAAAATAAATCGGATTTGAAGAACAAATGTGTTGCAAAATCTATCTCTGGAAATGAAAGGATATGAAGAGAGAAAGGAACTTTTAACACTGTCAAAGAAGCACTGCTCAAACTGTGTTGTTTATTTATACAGTAGCTATGCTGACTTGCTCAGGGATACTCCCTATTTCCCTGTGTGCTTTCTGTCAGTTTAGGAACAAGGCGATCATCTCCTGCTGCCAAATTTCTTCCATAATCTTGTAACATTAGCAAGCAATTAACAATAAGTATATACAGGGTATATACTGTTCATAAAGCTTTGCAAGGGAACCTCCTCATTAGAATAAGTATATACTAGAATGCATTATATGTAGTATACATAATGAGAATATATGTGATTTAAAGTAATGACTAAAGCAAAGTGTCATGGTTGACTTTGGAAAAGCAAAACCAAGAATAATCTACTAGTACTGACTTGGCTGATAAAAGTAGCTTGTAAACACTAATGACATTTGCATACTAATGAAACCCTTGGTATTCATTACATAAAAATAACAGTGCATCTCCTTTTCTTAAGGCAAGGAAGTTTCCCTAAGGAAATGGATTCGTCTTCCCAAAAATACCCAGTCAAAAAGCGAGTGAAAATTCATCCCAACACAGTAACAGTGAAATATACTTCTCATTATCCCCAGCCAGGAGAAGAGGGATATGAGGATGTTAATGAAGATACTGGAGTATTTATGGAGGATAATCCTAAGAAAAGACTATTGAATGATGGGAAAAAGAGAGAAAGGACTTTTTTCGGTACAATAGACACCAAACTTCAGCCAGCACAACTGGCAAAACCTAATGAGATGGGGCAATCCCAGCATTTTCCTGAGGGAAATATACTGCAGTCAAGGAAAACGTGGGTAGTCCTTTTTGGATCTGCTGTGGCTCACGGATGCGTGGCTCTAATTACAAGATTAATTTCTGATCGTTCCAAAGTGCCATCCCTAGAGTTAATTTTCATCCGCTCAGTCTTACAAGTGCTGTCCGTTACTGTTGTGTGTTACTACCATGAGCCTCCCTTTGGCCCAAAAGGCTACAGACTCCGGCTCTTCTTCTATGGGGTCTGCAATGTTATCTCTATTACCTGTGCTTATACTTCCTTCTCCATAGTTCCCCCCAGCAATGGGACCATTATGTGGAGGGCTACCACTACAGTGTTCAGTGCCATTTTGGCTTTTTTACTCATAGATGAAGGAATGGGATACATAGACCTTATTACTGTATTTGGCAGCGTGTTTGGTGTTTGTCTGGTCATGATACCCAATATTGTTAAGGAGGAAAACTCTTTGCTAAGCACCTGGAAGGAAGCTTTTGGCTATACCATGACTGTTATGGCAGGCTTGACCACTGCCCTCTCCATGATAGTCTATAGGTCAATCAAAGATAACATCAGCATGTGGACAGCACTATTCACCTTTAGTTGGACGGGAACGGTGTGGGGAGCATCCACCATGTTCTTACTTCAAGAGCCAATCGTCCCACTGGATGGAGAAACCTGGAGCTATCTCCTTGCCATCTGCCTGTGCTCCACAGCAGCCTTCCTGGGGGTCTACTATGCCCTGAGCAAGTTCCACCCTGCTTTGGTCAGCACCGTACAGCACCTGGAAATAGTCATTGCCATGGTCCTGCAACTTGTCGTGTTGCGGATCTTCCCAGGTGCTTATGATCTTGTCGGGGGAGCTGTTATTTTGGTTAGTGTCTTCTTCCTTGCGTGTTACAAACTGTCCTGGAAGAATTTAGGAAGGCAAGATTATCAGGAGATTGTGGATTCTTCCATTAAATGAACTGTGGTTTTGTCCTCTGAATCTGGCTATGTGACCATATGGAAGTTAGTTATTTCAACTTTAGTGTTCATGGGTTATGTCTCTGTCTAGAGCAGCCAGATTCTCTCTCTACTGTTTAAATTCACAGCTGGTGTAGCAATGTTGGTGTTTCTAGACTTCCATGACAGGTGAATTTGTTCTAGCACATACCACCACTGGCGTTCTGTCATGTGAGGAAAGACTATTTGTCCCCAGCAAGTAGGGTGCATGAGCAGGGACTGCTGGCCAAGCCTTGGGCAGGTTTCCTCCTCACCTTCCCTGGATAAGGCAACAGAGACAGAGGAATTCACTAGTGACTCTCATTCCTGTGCAATGTGGTAGTAGGCAAATTAATAGTAAAGCCATTAAAATGGCCAACCAGAGTACTCATCTCCTCTGTAACACTACTTCTGCTTTGGCTGTAATGCTCAAAGTGATGCTGATACTTCTGTGGTTAAAACCTGCATTTCCTGTGTATAAAGAATCAGTCAGTAAAAGCTTTTTGTGCTTTGTGGTTAAGTTTCTATCTGAATCAATGCAGGAAGCCCAGATCTCCTGTAGGGTTAAAAAGCCCCAAAAATGGGATCTCCAGTTGTGCCACGGCTGTGAAAGAAAGGTCCCCAAGAGCTGTAAGGTCTACGGTATATCAAAGATCCATGCCTGAAGCAGAGCAATATTCTTTCTATGGAATCACTTTTTCTAAAAGCGGTTTTGACAATTATGCAAGGAAAAAAAGTAAAAAGAGAAGGCATTTGAGATTGAGGTGTGAACAGCAGTGGTAACAGGGGCAGTTAGAAATTAGATTTAGAAAAAGCCCCAAGGTTTTATGGTCCCAAATAGTATTCCTGGCTGTGCTAATGTATGGCTAGTGAAGACCAGTGTTTAAAAACCCATGTCCTTGGGCTCCAGGACCAGCACGCACCTGCCTGTTGAAGCAAACTGTGCCTCTGTTCTGGGACATGTGCATTTTCTGAGGGCAAAGGTACTGCTCTGATGACCCCAACCAGTCCAGCTTCCCCCATGGAAAATACATTTTACTTGTAAAAAGCCACAGCAACAGCAAACACTTTTATTCCTATGAATATCCAGGGAGACCAGATTCCCCAGCATCAGCCCATCAGCAACGCTCTTAATCTGTGCAATGTGGAGGACACTTATGTCCTCTGTCAGTGATGAGAGCAATCTCCTGGGTCACACACTTCCTCAGAGATGGTGCTGGCACAGTTACAGCTGCCACAACATGTCTCCTTTGGGATCACATGGAGCTGGTGACAGGAGTTCTGCCTACTGTAGGAAGGACAGGAGAGAGAGGAACAGGTGATGCAATGCAGTGCTGAGAAAGCCACACCAAACACTTTCCCAGCCAAAAACCCCCTTGGTAGCTGCGGGCCCTGGCAGTTCCCAGCCTGGAATCTTGCTGTTCTATAAACTCATTTCCTTCTGAGGCAGATGGCCTTTACTCCTCTGAGCGGTAAGACAGCAGGAAAGCTTCCTTTGTGGAAAGCAACCAGGGCAAAAGGCTCCATCTCCTACGGCTTCCACATTTATAATACCTAGGATGCAGCTGAGCTTTGGGACTCCATCATGCCAACATGCACACATGCATGCAGGCAGCTGGGTATGTCCTGGCAGATGAGAAGCATTTAACAGTGAAACTCCCCAGATGCCTGCACCATGCAGTGTGACAGTCCTGACCAAGCTCTTGCTGAGCTGCCCCAGCACAGCTCCCTGCTGCTTCCACTCTCTGCTCAAGCTGCACATGCTGCAGAGCCGTGCCAGCCCTGCTGTGACCCCTGTGAGTGCAAGCTAAGCAGCCCTAAGAGCACATGGCTGCCAAAACGGGTAATCCCACTTCCTCCTCCTGCCCCCTCCCCTGTGTCTGATCCACAGTCACAAGATGCAGGCTTACAGACCAGGTACAAAACTAATCCTGCCAAACCCTGAGCCCAAATTGATACAGGGAGCCAGGAGTCAATCAGACACAACCGCATCCCAAGAACCTGCCTGATGGCCAGGGAGCAAGCAATTCCCAAGCTCTATGGGGCTTGGTCCTGGTCCAGCTGCGCCACAGCCTGTATGAGGTCCTGCACAACCAGGTCCACGTCGGCCCGGGTGGTGTCCCGCCCCACGCTCAGCCGCAAGGCGTTCTGTGCCACATCATAGGGGATCCCACAGCTGAGCAGAATCAAGGAGGGCCTGAAACACAGGCATGGGGGAAATCAGGTTTAACTTGAAGGCAAAGGAAGCACATGTCATCACCAGAAAGCTCCATCAAGCCCTAAGAAGGGGCACATCTGTAGGCAAATCTGTCTCCTGCACAGCGCCCTGCTCCGTTTCCAAAAGCATCTGCTCCTACTGAGCTTGTTACCCTGTGGAGGATTTAGCTTTTCCCCTTCAAGGAAGGACCTCTCACATGCCTGCATGGGTTAGGAGTTCTGCCATTTCTAGAGGGAATTACTCTAGACCAGGCCAGTTGCCTGCTGGAGGCCAGTCTGGGCTTGAGCAGGTGAGCCACGCACACAGAGACATAAGGCAGGCCCTTTTCTGGCAGTACCAGCTGCTTAAGAGTACTTCCAAGCTCAGCTGCACCACCAAAGCCAGGAGGGGCAAAGTCCTTCCAAGCAGCAGTCAAGTATTCCGTCTGTGCCTCCTGCAATTACCTCCTTCAGCACCTTTCAGCCCCTCTAGAAAGCTCTGCACCCTCTTTGTTCCAGGTGACCATGCCCACAGAAAACAAAAGTGCCTTTCCCTGTCCTTTTTCCTTCCCTCCCACACTCCTCTAGGAAGACACCCTCAGCCTGGCCAAGGCAGCTGCTTACCTATCCCCTTTCTCAGAGTGGCAGGCAGCCCCAACACTGGCGAGAAGCATCTTACAGCAGGACAGCACCCTTCGCCCTGCAGCACACACAAGCACAAGTCTCCCATCACCCAGACTCTCTCTGAGGGCCACTGCCTGCTTCATTTCTCTGCCAAAGCCCTGGCTGAGCACTCCCTGATGTCTAGCCACAGGGTGCTGTGCAGGGCAGGTACTTGGCTCCATGGGCACCATAATGAGGCAGTCATGGGGTAAGAGCTACCTTGAAGGCCTGGGCCCAGGATGGAGAAGTTAGAGGTGTTGCAAAGTCGCTTGGAGCCTGTAAAGTGGCTGTTGAGGTGGATCCTCTGCTTCCCAAAGGAAGTCTGGAGAAATCAGAGAGTTGTGAACCACTCTAGGTTTGTGAGCAGCTTTGTCCTGATGTGGGTCCAGGCCCCACATTCTGCAGGCTGAGACCCCAGGAGGGGAGAGACAAACAGGAACAAGGTCTGCCTACCTCCAGCTTGGCCTCCAGGTAATCTCGAACATCCCGCATATGAGCCTCATAGGTCTCCCAGTTCTTGCTCACCAACTCTGCAGCCTAAGGAGAGAAAACCCAGACAGGTTCCATCGGCACCCCCCCAACACCTCTATATGTGCACAGCCCCCTGGCACATGAGTCCAGCGTGGGAACTGCCAGATTCCCTGCATCCCTCAACAGCTTCTTGGTGCCTTGCACCATGTGAGCTCCGTGACTGCCCGCTGCCAGGGCTGCAAAACCTGCATCAAGTGCTCTGAAGCACCTTGTTTGGCACCAGAAAGCCCCAGGTTTGTCACTTTTAGTGACCAGGGAGCGCAGGTGGCCGTCGCCATGCTGGAAGTGCCAGAGAGCACCCCCAGAGAACTGCTCACCCATGAACATCACTGACTCACCTTGCCAAGGCCGGCAATCATTGGGGTGTTCTCAGTGCTGGAAGCGAAGAGGGAGCAGGGAGTTATTTCTCCGGACAGAAACCCAACCTCAGGGCACAGGTGTTTCTCTCATTGCTGACAGGGGGTCCTGGACCCTTCTCTGTGGTGGTTAGGAGGGCCCCCACATCAGGATCCCACAGTTCCCATGCACAGACCCATCTCCCTGTGCTGGGCTGCCCATCCAAGGGCTTGCAAGTGACAGAGCTGCCAGCTCAGCTCGCACTAAGTAGCTATGCATGGTTTGGCATGGCCTAGCTCCCCAGGCCATCACCCAGCCACCTTACCCTGGCCGGAAACTCCTCTCCTGTCCCCCTCCGAAGAGCATGGGGTGTAGCGGGGTGGTGGTGCCAGGGCCGCGCACGTACAGCGCGCCAATCCGCGGGCCATAGAACTGTGAGGAGAAAGAGCCACGGTCACAGTGGGGTATTAAGCTGGGGGGGCTGCCAAAGTCTCCTTGGCACCCAACAGAGATGTCTTAGAGAGCAAAGAGTGGCTGGGGCACGTGAACAGTGCCACACCTTGTGTCCCACGATGGTGAGGTAGTCCACCCCCAGCTCCTGCACATCCACGCGACCCTTGCCAATCATCTGCGCTGCATCTGTGTGCACTAGGATCCTGGGCAGCCCCTTCGCCACTCTCAGCTGATTGAGGGCATGGACACGCTGGCTCAGCTCCATGACAGGCTGGTAGGAGGGAAAAGGGGCTGCATCCCAAGGACTGTCTGGTCCCCCTTACTGAGCACCTTCTTGTGAGGATTTCCCTACCCCATCCTACTTGCTGCCCACAGACTCACCATGATGATCCCAGTCTCATTATTAGCCAACATGATGGAAACCAGGCAGGTGGTCGGCCGGATGGCAGCAAGGACATCATCCACCTCAGCCTGCCCACTTCTCTGGGACACAGGCACAAAAGTGGCTTCTGCAAGCCAAGAAACAAGCTCTGAGGTTTGCTGGGAAGCCCAACAATGGCCAGGGCTGCCTGCAACCCACTAAGTGGTGGGGCAGGAGAACTGTGCAGGCAGCTGGTGCACAGGCAGAAAGCATGGTGGTTCTCAGGATGCCAACAGGGTAGTGCACCCAGCTTAAGGAAAGGGGGACACTATGGGGAAACTCGGTGCCCTTTGGGAGGAGAAAGAGGAACATCATGGAGCAAGCGTGTCCCTGTTCTCCACCAGCAGAGAAAAGCTCCGGTTGTGGGGGGGCCAGATCTGCAGCCAGGTGCCTCCCAGCCTGCCCCTCTGCCGCTCACCTGCCAAGCCCTCCTTCACCAGCTGCTCCAGTGGCAGTCGGACTGAGTCATGCTCCACACTCGATGTGACAATGTGTGGTGTCCCCCAGCTGTCCCCGGGCATGGCCTGGCTGTTGTGGAAGTGCCTGCAGGCAGTCTGGATCACCATGTTGTTTGCCTGAAGGCAGGAAGGCAGAGAGGAAAACGAAATTCTACAGGGAACACTGCGCCCTTCGAACCCACCCTCCTCATGACCACTTGGCGAGGAAGTGGCAGGCAGGGGAAGCATGGGGGTTGCTCCCACCTCCGTGCCCCCCGAGGTGAAGACGATGTCCTCTGGCCGGCCTCCCACCATCCTCGCCACGCTCTCCCGGGCACTGCCAATGTGCTCCTTTGCCTTCCTCCCTGCAGGACGAGACGTGGCAGCTCTGCCATGAGCTCCCCTGGCCACGGGGCAGCAGATAACCAACACGGCAGCTCCCCGGGTCCCTACCTGCGGGGTAGGAGCTGCTGGGGTTGCCCCAGGCCTGGCTCATGGCATCCCGCACGGCTTGGACCACCTCGGGGGCCGGGGGGGTGGTGGCGTTGTAGTCCAGGTACACCCTCCTGCAGAGTGGACAGGCAAGAGGTGAGCGGGTGCCAGGGGGGGGGCAGGAGGGTCTGCACGGGGCAGGCTCTCACCCCTCCGACTCCTCGCACCGAGACTCCACCGGGTCCATCCCGGCGCCCATCGCCGCCTCCACGGTACACACAGAGGAGGGCGCAGCTGCTCTGCCCGCCCACCGCCGCGGCAGCACCAATCAGCTCCCTCCTGCACGCTCCATGGCCACAGAGCTCACGAATCACCTTCCCTCTTTCCTCCCTTCCCTGCAGCCATGACGCCCGCCCGCCAATCCACTACCAGCTGTTTGCGAGTTGGGCCTATCAGCTGCCGTTGTTCTCGCGGCACGCACTGCGCCCGCCCATTGGCAAGGGGACTCCGGGCGCGCGGAGCTCCTATTGGCCTCCGGCAAGCTCTTTCTCACCCGCCAGGCCAATCGCGGGCGCGCTTCTGGCGCGCACCCTCGCTCTGCGGGAGGCGGGGGCGGATGTTCCGGGCGCGGGAGGGCGGGAGGCTTCGAGGCGCTGCCCCTCTTCAAGATGGCGGCGGCTCCCTCGGCCCGTTCCCCCTGTTCCTTCCTGCGCAGGCTCCGCAGACCCCCCTCCAAGATGGCGGTGAGCCCCGGGGAGGGGAGGGGCTGGGCCGGGCCGGGGGCAGGGCGCGCCAGGCTCCGCCGACCCCCGCCCGGGGCCCGTGGTCCGTAGGAGGCCTCAGGCGGGTCGGGCGTGGGGCGCCCTGGGTTCTCTCGGCACAGCGCCGTGACTCAGCTCTGCAGGGGGGGGCAGCGGGGGTGGGGAGCAGCCACGACCCTGCTCCCCTGTGGTGGTCCCGGGCGCGCTCCTGCTTTCCTGAGCTGTCGGCTGAAGGGGGCCAAGGCGGCGGGCGGGCTTGCGACGCTCCCGGTGTCCTCAGCGGGCCTGGGCCTCGTGCCTCCCCGGGCCCCTTCGGCCATGGCGGTGGCAGCGGCAGCGGGCGGAGGGGGCCTAGGTGCGGCCGAAGAGCCGCGGGCTGTGGTACCGCTCGCCCCGGCTCCCCTCGCTGCTTGCGCGGCCGGGAAAAGTGCCAGTCATGCTGCGGGGCAGGCCGGGCCTAGGCAGGGCCGCGGCGGGCGTCGATGAGTAATCCTCAGCCGCGGCCTCTGTGCTGCGGGCGGTGTCTCAGTCGGGGGCAGGGAGGGCACCGGGAAGGCGAGCCGGCGTTTAGCGGCCGCTCCCAGCGAGGGGACGCGGGGAAGCGAGCTCGCCTGTTGACTGCTTTAGGCAGCCTCGTACCCGCGCAGGGGAAGCCGCGGAGAGGTGCGGCCGGTGTCCAGACTTGCCTGTCCTTGCACGTCGGAGCTGAAGTCCGGTGCCCTAAGCCGTTTTGATTGACTGTAATTGACAATACGAAGTCTAAAGCCCCATTAAAAACTAATTAACATAAACAGGCACACTGTATTAAGCTTTAAGAACGCACGGAGGAGAGAGAGTCTCAACGTGCAGATGTTTAGATGGGCTGGGCTAGCAGCAGCCATCCAACAGCAACCGAGTATACCATAAACTCCCAGATCTTATTGGTCTGAGTGGTTTCTCATCTGTTTATTTATATTAATGGCAAGAAAAAAATAAAAAAGCATTTGACATACTTCCCCCCCCCTTCTTCCAGGTTGTGTCATAACTACAATATAAACGAGCAGTGATGGAATCACTGGATACCGAGGTGAGAGCACGGAAGACTCTGGGGACTGTTGAATATGTAGAGTCTTCAGGTTTCACCCAGGGAATACTGCCAACCAAGAAGGATGTGGTTCAGAACATGCTGTATTTATTGCAGCCCAAAAGAGCTGGCCAGGCCCAGCGATCCAAAGAGGATGCAGCCCAGTTGCTTGCAGAGCACCTGCAGGAGCACTGGTTGGTTTGCAACTTGCACACCATCGCGACGCAAAACATAAAGAAACTTATCCTCAAAATGTACGAGGAGTTTACCCGATTGTATCAGACCAGGAAGCAGAGACAGAACCAGGCTTTTACTGAGAAAGCAGACAGATTCAATGAGAGTTCGGAGAAGCTCTTTGACGTGTTTTGCACAGACACGCAGACAAGAAATAAACTGGAGGAGTGCAGTGGGATAAAAATGACTAGCATCGAGTGGAAATTCCTTGAAGATCAAAGAAGCGAGAGAAAAATGTACTATGAAGATTTCACAGACAAGCAAGAATTGAAGATGATGGACAGAAGACGAAAGATACAGTGTCTGGAGCACTTCAGAAAACTTGCCAGGGAGGAGAAGGAAGGGAACAAAGTGAAGGAAACAAAATACAAAAGTGAGCAATCAGATGAAGGCACAAGTGTCGATGAATCCTACCTGGCTGAAGAGAATGGCGGGGCCCCAGCTTTTTCATTGCGGGGCAGAAGGAAGCGCCTGTGCACCACGACTCCTGAAAGCACTGCCATGCCACTGGAGTGCCAGCATATAAGAATGAGCATCAGGAGGGTTAGGCCTGGTTTCTACGAGACTGTGGAGAAGGTCAAAAACTGCTAGTGCATGCCGGAGTCGGCAGGCAGAGCTGCTGGAGTATGAAGTGGCAGTGCACACGTTAGGCAAGTTTGAAATCCCACCATCAATTGGAAGTGATTGTTGTAGATCCCCAAGCCAGAGCTCAGGAACATCCTGCTTCCAGGAAAAAGCGCTGGGATAACAGCAACAAGGACTAAACCACGTGAATTTGGAAGGATAAATAGCCAGCAGCTTATGATGCAAGGGCTCAAACGTAGCAGATGATCTAAGGTTACGTAGCATATAAGCCTCTTCTTCCAAGGTCCTGTCTACACCAGTGGGTTTTTGAAAGTCTCTCGCCATTTCTGGGCCAGTGGTGACCTAACAGTATGAAACAGGACTCGGATTTACTGCAGGGAAATAACTTGGACTTGTTGCTGACAGGAAGTGCTGTGCTGAAAAGCCCTAACGCGTTCTGGTTTCAGTGGAAGTGAAAGGTGCTTGGCCCCTTTCAGCAGAATTTGGTGTTGCTGCGAGGAAAGAAGGTGATTTTTAAGCTTGTATCACCCAGTCCCAGAGAGGAACCCTGCAGTTTTGCAAAGGGATTGCTCTCTTGCTTGAGGAGGGGAGAAGAGAGATCAGGAGACACTTGAGTGCTTTGGCTGTAAAAGCATTGGTGATTCTGAATGTTTTATTCTAGATTCTATTTTACTGACGTTTCCTTGATCAGGATAAACCTTCCCATAATTGGATGAGTTATAACATGAAGTCCCTAATCTAGGATCTAAGGTGTGAATCCTAAATGAAGTGGTAATGCTTTATCTTGGGGGGGGGGGAGTGGGGGGCTAAATATAGGGAGATGGATGCAAATTGCTTTATTTAGTTTGAAGATGAATAGAATTTTATAAATTGTTATCCTGCCTCATAGGGTATAGGAAAGAAAAAGCCTTTCCCAGGTGTGGATAGCTGTGGTATTTACAGCAAAAGGCACCTGAGCCTGGGCTTGCTTTTCCACCCCTGAGATCTGTGCAGGCCAGCCGGGGGGAAATGGTAGTTTTCCACCCAGAGTTGGTTTGAACAAAGTATAACCCTCTTGTCCACCTACACTCTGAGCAGTGATGTGTCTGTGACCTCGGATGCCCCCAGTATGAGGGTATCTGCTGTTTTTAGTTAGAGTTGCTAACTGCTGGTTTTTAAAGATAAGAGACTTGAACTTTCAGTGAAACGCAGTGCTGGAGATCTCTCGTGAGATTCCCAAGCCTCACCAGAGTACACTGAGATCTAAAAACCCCAAGTCTCTATTTGCCCACAGAAGTTCTCTGGTAAGAAGAGTGCAAACTTGCCTGGTTTTCAAATTTACCTTTCAGTGTGAATGTTGGTTTCCCCACTCCAGTATCTCGGCTTTTCTCCATTTCTTTTCCTCTCCGTCCCGCACATCATTTTACTGACATTAACCCGTGCTGTTTCATTCTTTGGCTTTTACTCCCTTTAACAATAAATGCATGTACGAATAATTTTGACAGTTCCTTTACTTTTAATGAATCAGCTCTTGGACTGCTTTGAAGTCCTATGCCAAAGGAGGAATGAAACACAAATCAGCTGCTGGTCCAGTTGGGACACAGCAGAGCGAGCAAGCACAAGAGGTGGCGGCAGCCCTGGCCTCGCTGCTCAGGCCAGCTCTGGTGTACCTCTGATCCATCCCTCCGCCCAAGGACGGATCTGTCCGGCTCTGAGCCATGCATCAGCTTCCCAGTGACCTTGCTCATTAGTCATTGCCGGGATCCTTATACTGTATCTCTGAGAAGTTCTTCACGGTAAGTTGCTCCAAAATACATAGTGAACTCAGTGTATTCTGCATCACCCGTAGTGTGTCGTTACAGGTTTAATAGCACGCACCCACGTTCTGCAGCACCCTTCAGCCTCTGCTGTTTGAGCGTTTGCAGCCCTCCCTCTCCTCTCTCTGACGTGCTTCACTGACTTCCCCATGCAGCTTATGTCACGTTTGAACTATTTGCCTTCCAGCCCTGAGGTGCTGGACTTGAGCCTCTCACTGGGCTTTTACACCAGCAGCTCTGTTTCAGCAGGGAATATAGCCAAGCTCGGACCTCGCCGAAGTAGATGTTTTTTAAGATAACTGCTGTAACCCCCCCTTTGTATTACAAATATAGCTGACAGTATACATGCTTGTGTGTAAAGCAAATCCACCAGGGTTGACTCGAATATGGAACACAGCTGTGTAGTGTTTTACGATTTTTCAGGGATTCAGGGAATTTAAGGTTGTCGAATCTGACTTCCTGTTTGCCACAGGGAATTGCATTTCATCCAGAAGCCCCAAGCTCAGCCTGCTAGTTTCAGTTGAACTGACGTGTGTTACAGAAAGTTGAGCTGAAAACCTCAAAAGTCTGCAGTCTTCCTCAGTTATTAGTGATGTGTCACCTTTGCTGTTTTGAAGAAGTCCAACCATCCTCTAGGCTGTGATTCTTTCCATGAGATCCTGTACAGGCTGAGCAGTGTTCATTGCATTTAAATTGTTTTTATTTTAAACTGGGTTTGACTGTGGATAGAGCCAAAGCCTGGCTCTGTTTCTGCTGCAACAGGGGAGGGAAATTTCTAAATGATGTATTCTGATTACTTCTTCTTTGGGACCATGGTGCCTTTTTAATCAGGACAGTAAATCTTGTCCCAGGATTCTGTACTTTTGTACGTTGACAGTTGTTGACTTTCCTTTTTTGGTGTGTCCCAAATAAATTAATATAACATACCTCTGGGCTTTTGTTTCTTCTTTCTAAAGGGGGAGAAAAGAGGAAACTGAAGCTAAAATAAACCACCTCTACTCCAGCTCTCCCTCCCAGGCTCTTGCAGGAGCTGCAGCTGGACCTGCTCTCAGCTGGACTGCATGGGGCAGCAGGAGGGGAGCTGCTAGAAATGGGAGTCTAGGATTTGAGGCCTACCTAGAGCCCTTTTGTACCAACAGTGCTGGAGCCTGGAGCAGCCAAAGGTAAGGGCAGAGGGATGAAACCTCTGAGCATCGTGGCAGCATTTCACCCAGTGTGCTTGAGGTATGGAGAGATCGGTATCGGGGAGCGAGGGACCTAACTTCCTGGCATGATCCCAGGGGAGGGTTTCCCACTTCTGTCTGTTTCAGGGACCTGTTGTATGAGATGAGCACTGGGCAAGTGGTGTCCAAAGACCAAAAGTGCACCGTGAGACCTTGACCTGGAAAGGAAATGGGAAAGAGACATGCTCTAAAGGGCCCATTTGCTTCAACAGCTTTTCGCAGGAGGAGGGAATCAGTGTGCATTCCAGGGCTACATATGTTTTTGCTGGGCACTGAGTTGCTGATTTAACTGGGTGTGGAGAAACACCTTCAGCCTTCACAGATTTCAGCTCCGATTGAGCTGACCTAGCTTGAACCTTTTCCTCTGATTTCTGCAAGGGGAGCAACAGAAAAGCTGAAAGCATGACCAGGCTCCTCTGTGCCCCAACCTTGGGCCCTTGCAGCTAGGCAGGGCTCATGCCAGCCCCAGGGAGGGCTTTACACCCCTCTGCAAGTAAAAGCTGACTTTTCATGGCCCTTACAAGTACCTTCCAGCTGCCAAGGTGTGCTCTAAGCAAGGACATATAGAAATACCCACCTGAATACACCAGAATGTACATGCCTCTTAACATGGCACCTGGCAGCTGCTGCTCCACCTCCTGTGCAGCATTTCAGAAAGGGGAAGGAACACAAAAATAACAACCCAAAATGCAAATCAGTACACTGCTGAGCAGTGTGGATGTGGAAAACAATCTGCTGTGATTCAGGGCACAGAAACAGTCAAAATGCTGGAATTTAACACAAGTCTGAGCCCAGTGCTGTGGGCTCATGGCTCACAGCTGCACTGGGCAGCACCTGATCTCGAAGGAGCTGCCCTAACTGCGGGTGGGTGGACCTTGGGAGGGGACAACCATCAGCTGGCCTACAGCAAGCACCAGGGTCTTGTCCTAGAGGCATGGGACAGCTTAACAGGGTCGTGGTGACACATTTTGGCCCTGCAGGTGGAACACTGGGGAAAATGGTTTTCCTGGGAAGGATGGAACAGACTTGTGAGAATGTGTCATTGATGGGCTTGTGCTCAGTGCCTGTGGCTTGGCTGCAGGGAGCTTCAGCTCCCATTTCTCCTGACTCCCGTGTTTTGGGGGGTAAAGGGGTGCATCAGGCAGTGGCAAAGCCATCCCTGCCACAGCAGAACTGGGAACTAAAATTCCTGTGTGGGGCATGGGAACCTAGAAGGTCACCTGCCTGACCCCAATCTCATTTCTCCCAGTGCCTCTGTGGGAAGAGTCACCCCAAATGCTGAAAGGAGCTTCAGGGTGGGTATTTCCATGGTGAACACATTAATTTATTAAGCAGATGTGTATGAGGGTATTTCCTGCTCTCACAGAAGATGATGTCTTGTTATTCCCAAGTTTCTGAACAGCAGCCACTTCCTTCTGGCACAGCTTTGGAGCCAGCAGATACCACAGTTGGGATAGGAGCTTTGGAGCTTTCTCTTTCCTGGACATGTGCTAACAGAGCAGCCAGTCCCAGACTTTTCTATGCCCAGTGCTCCCAAGGAGCCAGTTCGCACCAGTTCCAAGGTTTTTACAATTGTGTATATGCGGTGAAATCACTTTATTGCCCAATTTCCGGGAGTGGGGGTTTAGGAGCTGCAAGCAGCGCCTGCCCAGGTAATCCCTGGCCTTGTTTGTGGCACTGGCAGGCTGGAAGGCAGTGATGCCACACTTCAGGCAGGCTGTTTGCTTGCTCAGCGTTCCTGATTGTACCTGATCACACATTTGGTGTCAGTGCTTTCCTATTGGTGGTTTGCAGGCAGCCAGAGCAAATATCCCCATTTTCCCCTGCTGTCAGGGCATTGCTTCCCACGTGCTCTGGGGCTGAGTTTCTGGATGAGAGAAGCAGGTCCTGTGGAAAGTCCAGAAATTTTGGGGCAATGCCTGGCCAGCCACAGGGCAAGAGAGGCAGGAGCCCCTGTGCCAGCACCCCACAGACCTGCTCTCCCTGGCCATGCAGGGGTGGTCATTGCAGTGTTGGCTGTCCTTCACGCTAACACCACTCTTAATGCCCTGAGCTGAGGGGCAGCCGGAGCCCAAATCCCAGTGCTGGGGGTGGAGCAGTGCCATGGGGGTAAGCCCAACCATGCCAACGGTGAGCTGGTGTCGAGAGGAACAATCTCAGGTTACATGGCCTCATACAGAAATGAGTGGGTCTGCGGGAGCCTGATAAGATTTCCACTGTTGGTGGCCAGGGCATATTAAAGGGGAGTGTCGGGGCAGGCTGCTCATCCCCGGCAGCCTCCCTGCAGCATGGCAGTGCCGGGCGGCGAGGGGGACCTGCGGCGCCTGCTGAAGCTGCACCGCACCGAGATTGCCATGGCAGTGGATGACATCTTCCCTCTGCTGCACGGCTTGGCTGACCACGATGTTGTCCCGGAGCACATCTTCAAGGTGAGACTGCAGGGTGGGAGAGGATGGCCACGCCGTGGGGCTGGCTGATGACAGCGACAGGCTGTGATGGCACCGGTAGGAGACGTTGAGCCGGACGGAGCGGGAGGGTTCCCACCGTGCCTTCCATGCACTGCTCACCTGGCTGCTGGGCCAAGACGCTGCTGCTGTCCGGGACTTCTGGGAAGTGCTCTTCAAGGACTACAACCTGGAGCGCTACACACGGCTTCGGCCCCTCCGTGGTGCCTTCCCCAGAGGTAGCAGGAGGGCATCCCTGGCTCCCCTCCCAGCTCTGCTGGCAGGCAGGGGTGACACCCAGGCCTGGCTGTGTCTGTCCCCTTCACAGAGGTGGAGCTGGGGCGCCAGCACCGTGGCAGGCGTCTCTCCCCCAGCCCCGTAGCACCGCACAGACCCCAAGGCAAGAGGAGAGCCCCTGAGGAGCGGGATGGAGCCCGAGCCGTGCAGCTCTCCCCGCGGCACACCGCCAGCCCTGGTATGGAGACACAGAGTGGGATGGAGATGTGCCGGGGGGATCCCTGAGGTGCAGTGTTCCCTGATGCCCTGCAGGGCCTCTGGTGAAGTTGAGGACTGTGAAGAAGGCAGAGGGTGTGGATGCCCCTCGCGCCCCTCGTGGCGGTGGTGAGTGCCTAACCCCGATGGGGCAGTGTCTGCCCGGGCACTGTTTGCCTGCAGTTGATGCCTACTCCACTAAGCCAATCCCTGCTTGCAGCCCTTCAGGCAGCGGCCACCTCTGTGCAGAGAGCAGTGGCTGTGGCAAGCGGTGAGGTGCCTGTCACTCAAGGGGCCATCGAGGGCATCCTCATCAAGCACACACTGGAACCAGGTAGCACCAGCTAACATCCCATCCAGTTTAGCCCCCCCAAAGCCAGAAGCTGCCCCCAGTAGGAGGGGTGGGAGTAAGGGCGCTGCTGTTGGCCTCTCTTGCAGGCAGCTCCAAGGTGGGCAGCAAAGCTGGGGACGAGCTGCATGCTGCAGCCACCTGTGAGGAGCCAGGTGCCAGGAGCAGAAGCCGCAGCCTGAGGCCCCCTGCCCGGCCCAAGGCATCCCAAAGTGTAAAGACCCCACCACCACCTGCTTCCCCCCCCCCCCCCCCCCCCCCACTTCTGCAGCTACCCAAGGCTGTGGCAGGGAACTGTTCCTGCCTGGCAGCATGACCATGGCCTGGGGGTGTCCCCCCATGTCAGGCTGTCCCAGCAGCTCGCCCAACCCCCTTGCTTGTCTTTCCTGCAGAGTGGGGAGCCCCGAATGCACCCCCGGGACCAGCTGCTGACACCCACTGTGCACAGCCAGGACCCTGTGCCACACCAGGTGAGCCCCTGTGCATCCCTGAGAGGCACCTGGTGAAACAGGGACCACTGGAGTGTCCCTTGCATGTCCCTTTGCTCAGCTGAGCACAGGCAACCTGGGGCTTAGCTGCCCGCTGTCACAAGGCTACAGCTCCCCAGAAACAGGCAATTCCCACCCTGACTGCAGTTGGCGCGCTTGGTGCAGGGCGGGTGATGCAAGGGGAAAGGGTGATGGGGATAACAGGCTCTGGGGTCCCTTGGCAGCATGAGCCCCAGCACTGCTGCAGCCTGCTGGCTGGTGGTGACCCCCTGCCCGCTCCCCTGGGGCAGGAGAACGAGGACGAGTGTGCGGTGTGCGGTGACGGTGGTGAGCTCATCTGCTGCGATGGCTGCCCCAGGGCCTTCCACCTCGCCTGCCTGGTACCCCCACTGCCCCGCGTCCCCAGGTGAGCCCCAGGGTGCCATCAGGAACCCGGTGCCCCCCCAGCTGTCCCTCACCACCTGGCTTCGGCTGTGCAGTGGGACATGGCAGTGTGGCTCCTGTGTGGTGACAGCGGCTGAGTCAAGCGGGCTGCAGGAGGCGAATGCAGCTGTGGAGAGAGCCCTGGACACCCTGGGGGAGGAGGCATGTGGACCCCAGGGCAACGGAGGTGATGGCAGTGTCTGCAGCCGCTGCTTCACCCAGATACCTGCACCCCGACACTGCTCTGCACCCAGCAGGGACCCCAGGTGAGTCTCCTGTCATCATCCCCCACATCCTAGCCTTAAATCCCCCCCATGGCTGGGAAGGGGGAGGCTACGCTGATGGTCTCTGTCACCCCTCATGGTTGTAGGAGGCTGCTGCTATGCCCGTCCTGCGTGACCACCCCAGACACAGGCAGGCTGGAGAGCACCACAGTGGCCAGCAACCACCCACTACAGGCAGCAAAGGTTGGTACCACCAGCAACCAGCCCCATGGAGGGAAACAGGCTGGGTGAGGCAGCAGTGGTGGGTACAAAGGGAATGATAAGGCTGAGGAATGTTATCTCAGGCTGGGTGAGGGACTGGCTGAGTGTTACTGAAGGCAAGTTAGTGAATGGGAGAACTGGCTATCCTTCATTTGGAGAAGGCTGAGGTTCTCAATGACTTCTTTGTCTCAGTCTTCACTGGCAAGAGCTCTAGCCATGCTGCTCAAGTCCTGTGAGGTGGGCCAATGCCAGCCTTATGAAATTTACCCATGACAAGTGCTAGGTCCTACACCTGGGTTGGAGCAACCCCAGGCACAGCTACAGGTTGGGCAGAGAAGAGATTCAGAGCAGCCCTGCGGAGAAGGACTTGGGGGTGCTGGTCAATGAGAAACTTAACATGAGTGGCCTTCAGTATGCACTCACAGCCCAGAAAGCTAACCATATCCTGGGCCGCATCAAAACGAGCATGACCAGCAGGTCAAAGGAGGTGATCCTGCCCCTCTGCTCTGCTCTTGTGAGACCTCACCTGGAGTATTGTGTGCAGTTCTTGTGTCCTCAGCATCAAAAGGACATGGAACTGTTGGAACAAGTCCAGAGGAGGGCCATGAGGATGATCAGGGGACTGGAGCACCTCCTGTATGAAGACAGGCTGAGGAAGTTGGGGCTGTTCAGCCTGGAGAAGAGAAGGCTGCGTGGAGACCTCATAGCAGCCTTCCAGTATCTGAAGGGGGCCTATAGGAATGCTGGAGAGGGACTCTTCATTAGGGACTGTAGTGACAGGACAAGGCGTAACGGGTTAAAACTTAAACAGGGGAAGTTTAGATCGGTTATTAAGGAAAAAGTTCTTTACTGTGATGGTGGTGAGGCACTGGAATGTGTTGCCCAAGAAGTTGTGAATGCTCCATCCCTGGCAGTGTTCAAGGTCAGGTCGAACAGCACCTTGGGTGACATGGTCTAGGCTGAGGCACCCCTGCCCATTTCAGGGGGATTGGAACTAGATAATCTTACAGTCCTCTCAAACCCTAACCATTCTATGAAGCTGTATTGGGGAGGGAGGTGAGGGGGGGTAGGGGGCTACAGACATGTAGCATGATATGAGGCTGCACCAGGTGACAGATTTAACCCAGTCAACCAGCCTTGACCCAAGGGCTGCAGGCAGAGAGCAGGCAGGAAAGCTGACAGGACGTGTCTCCTCCTGCAGGCAGAGGATGGCTCCCTCGGCAGTGACCCTGTGCTGAGCAGGGATGAGCTTGACGCCCTCCTGGGTGAGGTATGGCACCACAGACAGCAACAGGCATAGTCCATTCAGGGGACTATGTCTCCAGTGTGACCTACAGGATGACGTTAGGCAGGGGGTGAGGTAGAGATAGCCAGGACAGACAAGGGCGCAAGGAGAATGACCTTGGGGCTGTCCTGCAGGGCGCCTGGGACGGGATCCTGCAGTGGGCATTCCAGAGCATGGCACGGCCCCTTGCAGACACCCATGGGCTCTTCGCCTAGCGCCTGCTGCCCTGAAGGCAGCTCCCACAGCACAGGCTGTGGAACGGCATTGCTGCAGGAACTGTAGAAGCATGATGGCACCCCTGAAAACAGGTAACAGCATCAGGCACTGCGACCATTGAGCCAGTGCTCCAACCACGGAGACAAGTACAGAAATGCGGGTACAGCTAACGACTCTAGGTAAAGTGTGGACAGGATAAATAAGCATCATGATCAGAGAATATACAACAAGAGAAATTTATTTTAAAACTATACAAAATATTTTAAGCTTAGGTGAAAAAAGCGCCAAAAGTACTTAAAAGACTGAACAGCAGAGAAAAAAAAAAAATCAAAAATTAAATCCCACCTGTCCATCATCAGCACAAAACAAAGGCCAATCAAAGAGCAAGAAGCCACATAACCAAGGAAGAATTCCCATCGAAGTACACCATGATCTCTACCACCCCCTACAACAGCTGCATGGGACCACCCCACAGACCTGCCCCTATGCAACACCCTACAGAACTGGCTCCCACTAACATCCAAATCAATACTCATTGATTTCTGAAAAATCTATTTTCCAATAATCTCCTGGTTCCATTCCTGATTTCAGTGTTCCCTTTTGAATCTTTTTCATTACAACTGGATGGTTTTTCAAACCCGTTCCATGTTTTGTGGTTGTCATTTTCGCTATTTCTAGCATTTTTACTGATCCTCTGTGTTTCTTTCAAAGTGCCACTAATGCTGCTGCTCCCCAGCGACATTCTTTCTGGTTTGTCTGTATTATTTCCCTCCAAGTAGTGGGATTACTACTTGGCCTTATGAGCCCCCCAGCAACACGGCACGGGCACCCCCTGCGGACCTGCACCTCCGCAATATCCCAGCAAGAAAAAAAAGGTGCCGCCATAGCTCGCAGGGTCCCCTATGGGCTGGCAAAAGCCTACAGCACCCGGGATTCCCAGGCGGTCTCCCATCCAAGTACTAACCGAGCCCGACCCTGCTTAGCTTCCGAGATCAGACGAGATCGGGCGTTTTCAGGGTGGTGTGGCCGTAGGCAGCCTCTCTCTTGCCACCACCGCTCTCGGTGCGCCCGCCCACGCTGCCCACCCGCACTCAGCCCCAGCACCCAAAACTGGCACCCTTATGATGCACTCATGCCCTGCTGGCACTCCTTGTAGAAGAACACAAGCTACCTCAGCCACATACTCCTTCTCTGTATATGCACTCGGCTAAAGGCTGGGTACAAGAAAAGATGACTTAACTCTTCTCTGTTGTGTACAAGTGCACAACGTGCTCTTGCCCAGCACTGTGGATCTTTGTTTTCACTTATGAATTGTACCAGCCTGGCAGGGAAGCATGTTCACCTGCTTCAGGTGATGATACAAGGCACAATGCAGAAGCATCAGGCTTCAGTTTGGAGCAGGTAATTGGTGTGCATGGCCATAGATATCTCAGATCCTAGCAAATGCTCCAGAAACAATATGCCTCAGGGATGGAAATGGCTTCATGTGTTTGTAGGAGAAGTGGAAGTGGGAAAGAGCTTGTGAAGGTGTGAACATATCACCCGATGGCCTGAGAAGGGGGCTACCTGCAATATATTCAGCATGGCATCACCTGGACCTAATGAGCTTAAATGATGGGAGCAAGATGGGACCTGGCTGGCTTTGTGCCTCTCTCCAGGTCAGAAGGAGCCACAGATCAGTCTTTCCTTTGGAGGGCAGAGCATGCAAGGAAGTGGGTGTGCTTGTTTCTAGCTTGTTTTTAAAATGCAGATGAAGGAAAACAGGTAAGTGGTCCTCTCTGCTCTGTAAGCAAATAGGTTCTCCTTCTGACCTGAGCTCAATGAGCTGCTTAGCAGCCTTGTTTTGTGAAAAGCATGGAAAATGGGTTCAGTGCACAAGGTTGATCAGTCATCCTGTAACACAGGGAGCTCTGGTGTCTCCTGGAGTTGGTGATGTACAGCTCATGTCATGCACAACTTGTCTGCTGTTCTAGAGGTGGATATGGAAGGCTTCTTGCAGGGGATGGGGCTACAGGGTTGTAACCACAGCACCCTCACACACTGAAAAAAAGGAAGGAGCCCTCATAGGGGCCAGTTTTTACACCATCCTTCATTCGAGTCCTGTGAAATGCTTTCTCTCTGTAGATACATGGCCCTTGCTGGTCCTTACCCTCCAGGATGTCATCTCTTACCTTGCAGCTTCCTCTGTGGTGAAAGGAGAATTTCACATCAATTGCATCTTTTGACAGCAGGTCAGGCTTGAAGCTTGGCACTGCCATTAACTTATGCTCAGTGTACAATGGACAGACTAACCTGGGGGGAAATTTAAGCAATGAGAATCTGGAAAAGCAAGCAAACAACCAATCAAGGTGTGCTTTGGCAAGATAACACAGGTGTTTGCAGAGGCAGAATGGAAGGTGAGCAGGGAAAAATTGCCCTCAGCAATGGGCTGGAAAAGTGTGTCTCCAGTGCAACTTGTTCTGAGTAACTCAGAAAGTGGGAGATGGGGAGGAGCAGAGGGAGTGGGCTGAGAGTGGTTTGGAGTGAGTAACTTCTGGCAGAAAGTAGATCTCTTTAAACAGAAACAAGTATTTCCCCAAGCCCAGTGAGCTTGGCTTGTCCCCATGCCAGCCCTGAGTGTGCTGCTGGTTTGGAAGGTCAGTGTACATTGAAAACTGTGCTTCTGGGGGCAGAAGCAGCTGAGAATGTCTTTATTTATATTCAGGCAAGAATCTTGCAGTGTTTATCCTGCCTGTCCCTGGCATCCTTTACAAAAACAGCAGCAAGGCACTTCCGTAAGCCAACACCATTTCCAACCTGTGGCAAACCCCTTCTCAGTAGATGCTGCTGGCTGTCCCGCATGTCGGAAGAAGTGAACAAATTTAGCATGGGGGTGTGTACTTTACAGTTTCAAGGAGCTCTAAAACCTCGTGGGGGTCTGTGGAAGGTGGTTTGTTGAAATACACCAACAGGAGCTTTCGAAATCTCTCCTTGATTGGTTGCTCTGTAAACACAGCGGAAGTTATCTGTGCCCTGAGAAGGTAGATTTAGGGGGGCTCATGGGGTCACAGCTGTCAGCATATGGAAGAGAAGATGACACTTCTCAGTGGTGTGAATAGGCATGGTGAAGTAGGACAGATGGCACATTGGTTCTGCTGTACCAGCAGTCCTCCTCTGCCCGTGTGCTCCAGCTGACCACTATGGCTGTGCCTCCCACATGGCTCTGGGCTGAACAGAGGGATGAGCTTCTACCCCCCTCAGCACAGGGGAGACAAAAGTGGTTGGCAGGGGTATTAATCCTTCCACGTGGTACCCCATTGTATCAGTGCAGGAGAACCTCAGAAGGAGGGTCCTTGTAGCAGGGTGATTAAATCACCACAGAGTCACAGAATTGTTTGGGTTGGAAGGGACCTTAAAGCTCATCCAGTTCCAACCCCCTGCCATGGGCAGGGACACCTTCCACTAGACCAGGTTGCTCCAAGCCCCATCCAACCTGGCCTTGAACACTGCCAGGGATGGGGCAGCCACAGCTTCTCTGGGCAACTTGTGCCAGCACCTCAGCACCCTCACAGGGAAGAGCTTCTTCTCAATGTCTAATGTAAATCCCTCCTCTGTCAGGTTAAAGCCATTCCCCCTTGTCCTGTCACTACTGTCAAAAGCCCCTCTCCAGGTTTCTTGTAACACTTTTAGGCGCTGGGAGCTGCTCTAAGGTCTCCTCAGAGCCTTCTTTTCTCCAGGCTGAACCAGCCCAGCTCTCTCAGTTTGTCTCCACAGGGGAAAATGACATTTGCTTTGTCACAAGACAGGGAAATCTTGTGAGTCACTAAGTCAGTATCTGAAGGGCTTTGGCACATGAGCCTGTTTTGCAGC